GCAGAAGTCCCACCCCCCAAGGAACTGGCCAGGCCTGGGAGCACAGGCAGGAACAGAGTCCGAGGGGAGGGAGGGAAGCAAGCCTCTCTTACCCAGGCCGGTCACCTTCCGAAGGCAGGTGAGCGCTTGCTGAAGCCGGCTGCACTCCTCAGCGCTGGCCCCCCAGCGCCGCAGCATCTCCTTGGCCTTGGACTCATCCATCTCCAGCAAGGCATCCAGTGTTAGCTCCTGGGGAATCTCCTGGGGGCAGAGAAGGGACAGAAGAAGGCTGGGGGAGCAGTGAGGGCGTCTCAGACCTCCGTTTTGCAGGGCAGGCCTCCCAGCTGAGTGGCAGGAGCCAGCTGCCGGCTGGAGCCTCTGACGAGAAGCCACCACTTGTCAGGGACGCAGGCAGAGAGCACTCGCACCCCCACCCTCAGGATCGCAGAGACAGCAGCTGAAGGCGAGTGCCACCTTTGGGCTGGGGTTGAGGCGGGGAGAAAACACCAGAAAGGTCTGGATGGGAACTCGCAGCCTCTCTCTCTTTTAATTCTTTAGTACTGTGACACCTTTGGTAGCCCTTCCCAACTTGACTGTATCTGAATCATACAAGAGAGATCTCAAACTAAAATGTCTTTAACGAGGATAAAAACAACAAAAAGAGCCAGGGCCAACAACCGCAGAGGCGTTCAACAACTTGTATTTACATCGGTCAAAGCAGGTCAGCTGGACGGGCCACGGGCCTGTTAGTCCCATCTACTCGGGAGGCTGAAGCAGGAGGAGCCTAAACTCAAAGCCTACCTGGTTTAGAAAGCGAACTCAAGGCCAGCTATGACAACTTGGTGAGACCATGAAGGCTGAGGCGGCTGCCGCAGCTCAGTTGGCAGCGTGTCTGTCTGCCCGCAAAGCCCTGGGTTCTAGCCCCGGCACTGCGCAAACCAGGCATGGTGGTACATGCCTATACTTCTAGCTCTTAGTAGGTAGGGGCAGAAGGATCACACGCCCAAGGTTATCCTTACCTGCACAGGAAGTCTGAGGCCAGCCTGGGTTGCATAAGACTGTCTAAAAGGGGGGTGGGATCGGGGAAGCAGGGCTGGATGTGTAGCTCGGTGGTAGAGTATTTGCAGACCATTGTCTCATATTACATCTGGAGAACGAGCCTCAAAGGGCTACACTGCTGGACAAAATCCCGGGGGGAGGCGCCCCAAGATGGAGCTTGCCTTGCCTGCAAATGTGATGACCCAAATTCAACCCCTGGAACCCACAAAAGGTAGAAGGAGAGAACTGACTCCACCATGATGTCCTCTGACCCTGTACATACACACTGTAGCATACGCATGCGCGCATACCATACACGTACAAACTTTAATACTAAAATGAACTTTAAAAAAAAAGATATTATTAGCCAGGTGGTGGTGGCACACATCTTTAAGCCCAGCACTCAGGAGGCAGAGCTAGGCAGATCTCTGGGAGTTCAAGGCCAGCCTGGTCAACAGATCGAGATCCAGGACAGGCACCAAAACTACACAGAGAAACCCGGTCTTAAAATTTTTTTTAGAATAAAATAAAATAAAAATAAAAAAAGCTATTATTGGGACAGCAAGATAGTTCAACAGGTAGGAGTAACCTTGAGGTCAAGTATGACAACATGAGTTTTATTCTGTGTGTGTGTGTGTGTGTATGTGTGTGTTTGAGACAGGGTTTCTCTGAGCAGCCCTGGCTATCCTGGAACTCACTCTGTAGACCAGGCTGGCCTTGAACTCAAAGATCTACCTGCCTCTGTCTCCTAAGTGCTGAGATTAAAGGTGTGTGCCACCATGCCTGGCCTTAGAAAAGTTTTTTTTTTTTTAATTTTTATATTTATATTAATATTAATTTTTATTTTACATGAGAGGGTATTTTGCCTGCATGTATGTCTGTGCATCACGTGTGAGCAGTGCCCACAGAGATAAGAAGAGGACACTGGATCCCCCGAAACTGGAGTTACAGACAACTGTGAGCTGCCACGTGGGTGTTGAACCTGGGTCCTCTGGAAAAGCAGCCTGTGCTGTTAACCAGTGGGCCATCTCTCCAGCCCAGTGAGCCTCACCTCCTGGTGCCATTCCTGACTACACTATATGGCAGCACTCAACAGCCTTTGAAGGCAAAAGGCTTTCTCTGGTTAACTCGAGGAAGTCAGTTTCAGAAGAATTCATGTCGACCTTGGAGATGGACCTGAGAAGGAATTTGGGAGGCCTCTCCAGTGGCCTGATACCCAGTGAGAAACCAGAAACTCAGGCCTGAATGACATTCCTCAAATGCAATGCTTTGGCCAGGCAATTTGATGGACATGAATTAAAGGGCCTCAGAAGCAGGCTCAGAATCCAGGGCCCTCTCACCTGGTCTTGCTCAGCTGCATGAGTTACAGGTCACACCACCACTGCCTCCATCCCACCTAAAAGCCCACCATCCGCCTCAGAAAAGGTGACCAGGGATGAAAGACACCTCTCTTCCTCTGCTCTGCAGGATGATGTTGGTCCCTTGGGCTCACTTAAATTCCAAAAAGCATCATTTAACATGCAGCTGTTTTTCTGCCCCAGATCATTCATTGCCCTAACAATCAGCAAGGACCTCTCAAAATTGCCCACCTCCCTTACTCCCTCTGCAGAAACAGAGGGTAACTTCCGGATCTCCTGGCCACTGGGGGCAATTGGACAGCATCTGTGCGTGTAATACGTTCTTGTGGTTTTTCTCCCATTCACCTTTGCCAGTTTATTCCAAGGGACCGTTAAAGGGCAGAGGGGAAATTTCCTTCTGCCTCTAAAGTCACCTAAAGAAACTGGATTCTGCCACCAACCTAAATATACTTGGAAATGGAGTCTTTCCCCCAAAGCTTCCAGAAAAGAGGCCAGCTGCCTGGCTGACTTCTTACTCGGCTTTGTAAGAAGAGCCTCTGCAAAGGGAAGTTACAACACTGGCCTGGGGCTGGGCTCCTCACCATCCTCCCTTACAGAGCTGTGAAGTCACACACAGGGACAGCCTGAAGTTGCTGCACGGGACCCAGCATTAGAAAACTAATACAAAGCATGAACCCCGAGTTAGACTTGACCTCAAAGATGGACTTTTCCTCCTGCCCACAGACTCCACAGATCACAAGGACCAGTGGAAGTGGAGCACATCTCTGCCTCTAGGAGCTTATAGTCCAGGCTCTCGCCCTCTTTCCCTCTCATGTGGTGTGGTGTGCTGTGGTGTGCTGTGGTGTGTGTGTGTGTGTGTGTGTGTGTGTGTGTGGTGTGGGGTTGAGCAAGTAAGTAATTACTATTGCACTAAGACCCAGACAAGTACACCAGCGACATGACTGGCCTGGCCATCTGCATCCTCACGGTCTTCCTCATCCTCCTTCATGCCTTGTACGACTGTTCTCGTTTGCAGCGACTGAGGAGGCCACACATCCCATATCAAGCAAGTCTAGAAAACTTGAAGTGATTTCCAAGGATTCTGAAGGCAAGTTGTACCTAGTGCTTGATTGTTTTCTTGAGATGGGGGCTTACACTACATCTCAGCTGGGCTGGAACTCATTTTGTAGCTCAGGCTGGCCTCCCAACTCCAGGTGATCCTCCTGCCTCAGACTCTCAAGTGCTGGATTACAGGCCTGTACCACTACACCCAGTTCAAGTTTTATTTTAAGAGAGTGATTTCACCGTCAGGCCACATGTGCTGCACATCTTAGACTCAAACTGGACTAAGTCAGTGCGGGCCACGCCCCTCCTCCCACAGCACCTGTGGCAGGTCCCGATGTCTCAGCAGGAGGTGACTCCACCTCCAGGGCTGCGGCAGGACTCTCAGTACTGTTTACAACAATCCCCACCACAATGAGAAAGAAACACACAATACCAAGAAAGATCACCATCACTGGTCAGAACAACTCTTGGCTGCCAGAAATCCTTCCACGCTATCACATGAAAACCCACAGGAAGCCGCTGCTCAGGGCAGCACCGGCACTGGGAGGGGAGGTTGATTATAAACCGGTTCCCACATGGGAACTGTTGCCCTTGCCCACCAGCCTTTCTTATTTCCCCAGCAACTCTTCTTCACCACAGTGCAGCTTGGGCATCCTTCCCGTTCATTTTGCCAGGGAAAGAAGTCTGACATTTGATACTGTTGTGACAGGGACAGGGGACCTTCACCTCCACACAGCTGCACCTTATCAGCCGGGTGGGACACAGCACACGCCTGTAACCCCAGTTCAGAACTGCATACAAGAGGATCTTAAATTTGAGGCCAGCCAAACCCCAAACACAAAGCAACATTCTACCTTGGATGGGATGTCCTCGGTTGGTCTCCCACGGACACCCATGCATGGGCACACGCACACACACATGCACACACATACTGTCTAGAATGCTGACTCAGCAGCTTCCTGGAAGATGACAGATACGATGGCCGTGACGGCGTCAGGCACGGGAGCCCCAACCTCCCAACCCAACTCGAAAGCTAACAGGAAGGGGTTTTTTCCTTTCATTTTTATCCCTTCTTCATGAACCACGCCTTCAATTTCTCAAACAAAATAATGATATCCATGACTCTCATCTGTTGGCCAGTACCACTGCCCACCGCTTTGTGTATGTTCTCCACTGGAGCCGACTCAGGAAGCCCATGCCGCTCACGTCCAGGCACTGGAGAGCTCACAGGACTCAAATGACAGCCCGTCAGATGCCAGAGCTCCCGCCGCTCTCCCACACTGTCGATTGCTAACCTGGCACTCAGAAGGCGATTTCTACCTACGTTCCCCAAGAACCACCCAGTAACATGGAAGGTCCTTTGTTCTTTATCCAAGCAAATTAACTCTCCAGGAAAGAGAAATGATATGTTCAAATCTCTTTCCTAAATGCATAAAAAAAAAAATGTAAGAAGAAAAGGATTTTTTTTATAGCTTCAAATTAGCTAGAAGTGTCTCACTTCTCTGAAGCCTGAAGATCAATCTGCTCCCCCTTGAACAGGGCGGAAGAGTGGCCGTTCTATACTTCCCTTGTCCGTATTCTTCACGACTTGATTCAAAACTGCTGAAAAATGGGTAAGGCCAAGGTGGGGCAGCAGGGATGCTAGAGAAGAAAGCCACCTTAGAACCCACCATACGCTGGCATGTCCCCACCCCTCTGGCATGGGCCCGCCACTCAGTGTTTCTGCCTGGCGTCCGGGGGTGTGAACATTCACCCTCACATGGATGCAATCACACCGCTTAGCACACCATTATTCTTGAGTGACAGTTCTTTCTACCACTT